GCTCCCTCATTCCCTCCCCCAACCTCACATTTCCTCCCTGGTCACTTCCCTGCCCCTTTCCACGTCCACTGATATCGGAGGACCTCCTCCCCTTTCATTTGACCCTGTTTTATCAGTTATCTTCAGGGCTGGCTGCAAAGTCCTCCTCTGTGGCCTAACAGGACTGCTCCTCCCCTGGGGTGGGGGGAGGTCAAAGAGCCTGCCCTTGAAATCCTGTTAGAAATAGTCCTTGTTCCCCTTACTTTGGAAAACTACTTGGTTACTGAGCTACCACGGGCCTGTCTGACTTTTTAAAATGACAATACCATGTGTTGTTTTTTTTTTTTAAATTACTATTTCTCTGTAGTACAGCTTGAAATCAGGGATGATGATGTATTCAGTCATTATTTTATTCCACAAAATTGTTTTAGCTATCCTGTTTTTTTTTTTTAATTCCATATGAAGTTTAGAATTGTTCTTTCAAGGTCTGTAAAGAATTGTGTTAGTATTTTGATGGGAATTACATTGATTCTGTAGATTGATTTTGGTAAGATGGCCATTCTTACTATGTTAATCCTATGGATCTATGAGCATGGAAGATCTTTCCAACTTCTGACATCTTCAATTTCTTCCTTCAGAAACTTGAAGTTTTTGTGATACTTTCACTTGCATGGTTAGAGTTAGACCAAGATATTTTATATTATTTGTGGCTATTGTTATGGGTGTTGTTTCCTTAATTTCTTTCGCAGTCCATTTATCACTTGTATAAAGGAGAGCTACTAATTTTTTTGCGTTAATTTTGCATCTAGGCAGTTTGTTGAAGGTGTTTATCAGCTATAGCAGTTCCCTGGTAGAATTTTGGGGGTCACTTATGTATACTATCATATCATCTGTAAACAGTAATACTTTGAACTCTTCCTTTCCAATTTGTGTGCTCTTGATCTTGTTTAGTTATCTTATTGCTCAAGCTGGAAATTCAAGTACTATGTTGAATAGAATCAAAGAGAATTGGCAGTCTTGTCCCTGATTTTAATAGAATTGCTTTAAGTTTCTCTCCATTTACTTTGGTGTTGGCTATTGGCTTGCTGTACATTGCCTTTATTGTGTTTAGGTATGCCCATTGTATCCCTGATCTCTTGAAGACTTTTAACGTGGAGATGTTGGATGTTGTCAAAGGGTTTTTCAGTATCTAATGTGCTGATCATGTTTTTTTTTTTTTCTTTCAGTTTGTTTCTATGATGGTTGGATTACATTGATGGATTTTTTTGTATGTTGAACTTGTTTTTGCTGTGTACTTGGATTAAGTTTGTGAATATTTTATTGAGTATTTTTGCATCAATGTTCATAAGGGGGATTAGGTCTGAAATTCTCTTTCATTGTTGAGTTTTTGTGTGTTTTATGTATGAGCATGACTATGGTCTTATAGAATGAGTTTGGTAATATTTCTTCTGTTTCTGTTTGTCAAGCATTGGCAGTAGCTCTTCTTGAATATCTGGTAGAATTCTGAGCTAAAACCATCTGGCTCTTTCTTTCTCCTTCTCCTTCTCCTTCTCCTTCTCCTTCTCCTTCTCCTTCTC